GGTGGCACGGTGCCACCCACCCTGGCCAGCCCCATGGTGTTCCTGCTGCATGATGTGGAGATCATTCTCACTGGTTTTAAACCAGCCTCCTCCCAGCTCCATGTGCTACCAGTCCTTGTGCTGGGGAATGTGGTGAAAAGCAGACCTGGACTCAGCAGTTCCTTGTGAGCTGTGGCTCTCAACTGCCCATCCGCCTCCCCCAGCCTCATCACTCTCCTCCCCAGGTTTCAGCATTCAGAGCAGCATATGAAACAAGGGACAGCCATGTTTCCAAGACTGGGGGAGGTGTGGAGAGGAGGACAAAGCAAGTGCACATTTTGCCTCACTTGACCCCTGGGGAACCCAACGCACAGACACAGAACACAAAGCACACTCGGTGCGTTCAGCCAGGGCAGGTGCTGAAGTTGCTGAGCAGCAGGAAGCTCTGCCAGCAACAGAGCACCTGCACCAGCCACCTGCTGCTACAGGGTCATCTCCATCCTCTGAAGCTGAGACTGCAGCAGCTCTGTTGGCCTCATGGGCACAGGAACCCACCACATGCTCCACAGCACAATACATAAACGTAACGCAGGAGCTTCTGGATTTGGAGGAGCCACCTTCAGTCAGAATTAAGCATGATTAGGGATGGTGGCTTGCAGTTTGAGGCAAGCTTGAAAAGCTGTCCTCATCCCAGGGCAAAACCCTGGGATTTCTGCTCAGTGCATGGTGGGGGGTGGGCATGAGCACCCTGCTGCCAGCCACACTGGCTCCAGCACAATGTCCAGACTAGTGCCCTCACTTGGCCCCAACCCATCACCTGCCAGAGCCTGGTACCCTCCAAGCATGTTCTTTTAGATAACCCAGACAAGGATGGTTTGGTGCTTCATACCAAACGTACTCCTCTGTAGGCATTTGATGCTACATTGGATTTTGATTTAGCAGAGTGATACAGCAATGTACTGAAATTGCAGTACAAGCACAGTACTGCAATTGCAATATGCAGTGGGATTGCAGTAGAAATGTGATACCCAACACTGCTCTCCGGATGCCCCACTATCAGCATGCTGGGTGTCCCCAGCCACCAGGAAGGAGCACACGAGCTGCAGCCAGCTCAAGCCTGTTCCTCTCTTTGATGCTCTTTTTGCTGTCATTCACTGCTTACACTCTTATGTTGAACTGAGCCAGGCGAACTTCCCCGTGGTGGCCGGGCTCACGCAGGACACCCGAGCTCCTTTGGTGACATCCAGGGTGAACGGTGGCACAAGCAGCCCATCCACCCAGCCAACAGGCCTGTTGGTACAAGAAGGGAACCCATCCCTTTGCATCAAGATCAGCTCAGCTGCTTCTGTGGCCGACTGTGCCCTCTCCTCTGCACCTTTGCCTTTGCAGGGGTTGGCCAACAGGCCTCAGCCCTGGCAGCAGGGCTGGGCCTGTGCAGGGGGCTGGTGCAGGCTCAGCGTGGGCCCCACTCGTGCACCCACCCGTGGCACCAATGTGACAGGGCAGCCAGGCAAACGCCCCTGGACTAAACGCACAATGGGCCCGCTTCCACCTCAGGGCTGAGGTTTACCCCGTTCCAGCAAATGCAGTCCTTCAGCAGGCAAAACAGGGGGAAGCTCCTCCTGCCCACCAGGTCAGCTGCTGGACCCCAACCCTGCCTCGCCCCTCGCCATCCCCACTGTGTCTGTCCTGGGGCACATTCCAGGAGCAGCTGCCCTGACATCGCAGCATCAGCCTCAACAATGCAGACACCTCTCCACATCCAGCCCAGGGGGACGCAGCAAGGACAAGGTCTGAGCCCAGAGGCAGCCCACCAGCCCAGTCTTCCCACCAGCCAGCCACCTGCTTCTCACAGTGACTGAAGAAGGTGCCAGAAGGTGCCAGGTGCTGCGGTCAGCCTGGGACCTTCAGCTGGTACAAACTCTGTGCCCGCGCTGCCCAACACTTCTCTGCCGCAGTGCTGCCTGGCCACGCTGTGCACCTGGCCGCCACACCCAGGGAGGAGAAGGCCTTCCCGGTATGGCCCAAAGGCTTCCACCACACTTTGGGTCTTGGTGAGAGCCACCCATGCCTGTAGAAATGGCGCTGAAAAAGAGAGCGGTAACAGGAAGCCTCAGCTGCTGGACAGACAAGAAACTGGCACGTGCTGAAACGACGGTGCAGGAGGAGGGGAGAGGGTGCTGCAGAAAGGCAAGAGGGAAGTGTCTGGTTCAGAGGGAGGGAGGCGGGGGGCTCTGCTCCCCCACCAGCCCCTCTTTGCCGAGCTGCAGGCAGGGCCTCTCGGTGCCTGTGGGCCTGGCGGAGGAAGAGACTCATGCTTCCTGCTGCAAGGAGGCCGCAGCCCAGCCGGAACCCCTCAGGAGCGCGTCCGGAGCCCAGTGCAGCCTCCCAGCTCTCCTCCCAGCGAGTCGGGCACAAGGCGAGCCGCGAGCACCCTGTAGCCGCGCTGCCAGAAGCAGCAGAGCCTGCAGACAGCATGTGCTGTGCTGCGGCTGGGGGGGGAGGGGGGCCCCGGCGGCGGAAAGACCACGACA